GGGGGCGCCCTTACCTCATCGTCATCAAAGACACGCGCAGGGGAACCTTGACTCACAAGCTGAATTCATTCGACACATTCGGTTGATTGAGGAAACGTGTTCTAAATGTACACAAATAGTAACGTTAAGAGTCAATGAAGATTCTGATGTTTGGAAAACACATTCGGTTTCTTTGAGGAATACAAAATGTTAATTGTTTTTGATGTTTAAAAAAAAAAACAACAATTTTGTTGGTTCTTTGATGAAGTTATTTAGGTTAGTTGAAGACCCCAAATTTCTTCTGATGTTTTGAGGAATATATCCATTAAGTTCATGAAGGGGTCGAAATTGTTTTCGGAAATACGTCATTGTATGATCTGTCTGTTGAAAGCCATCATGTGTCTTTTGGGGTTATGAAAATGGACTTTGATGTAAAAAAAATAAAATAAAAAATAAAAAACCCCAAAACTAACAAAAACAAGGCGATGAAGTTCGGTTTATTGATCGTGCCTGTTTTTTGCATTTTTTTTTAAACAAAACAACACGAGGTTCGATGAAAAAAATTGGAATAAAAATTGTTTGTGGTTAGAAAAATGCATGTTAAATTTGATCACGATTCCAAATAAGCCTTTTATGTTTTTGAAATCGATAAATGTTCTCACTGAGAGCATTTGGATTTGTTTGACACGAGGCGGCGGGCGTCCGATCGCACGCAGGAAGTCGTTCCGTTGCCGTGGAGAGAGAGGAAGGAAATTCCTGCGGGTGGAATCCGTCCGGTCCAACAAAAACGCAATTAGGATATGAAACTCGCAACCCGCCGACACAATCACATTTGAGGTGCCCCCGCGGACGCACGCCGACCTCGGCCTCGCTCGTCATAATTAACATTTCAATGAGGTTAGCTTCCCGAATTATTCCGGAAAGGTGGTCTCTCTCTTCTAATATGTTTCTCCAAAGAATTGCCAAATGACTTCCAAAATGATCTTCGTAGCCTGGCTTACCTTTGCAACTCAAAATTAGCATCAAACTTTATGTCATTACGATCCACTGACATTGGACGGCGTCGCTAAGGAACTGTCTGCTACACCCGATTCCGACTGGACAAATTTCACACGGCGGGGGGAGCTAATAAAAGAATTTTGGGGATCATATTCACTGGAGAGTAAAATGTATATTTGAAGCTTCCAAAACTGTGCAGGTCTTTGACAGCTAAGTCGCCTTTGACGTTTTCAAAACTGTACGTTGACTTGTTTTTCTGTATTCCGACCACACGTGCACATCGGGCTCATTCAAGTCTTCCGATTGCCTGAGGCGCATTTAAAAAAAAAAAAAAAAAAAAAAAGTGCATTTGGTTCACGGAAGACTCAAAAGTGATGACGAAAAACTTTTCAGCTCCTTTATTTCGCAAAGTTCTCTTTCAAGTTGACGAAAAATGTATCTTCTGTGTGCTCAAGTCTCGGGAATGTCTGAAATGTTGATAAAAATGTCAATTGTTCAATTCTTTGATGCGGTCATTGAAGAATCTAAAACTGTTCGTAGAACTGTTTGCGGAAGGCCAAAGTTTTTGATGTTTGGTGTTTAAGAAAACGTACTTTAGGTTCTTTGAAGTTTAATGTTGATAAAAATGTAAGCGAAGATCATGACAGATTGTTCCGTTTTTACTGAACTTTCTGTCCGTTGAAGAATCAAAATTGTTAACGAAAAATTGTTCGGGATGAAAATGGATGATTCGTCAGCGTTTACGAAAATACACTTTGGGTTTCAAAAGTGTTGACAAAACCGCATACGTTCCCTTTGTTGACTACGCAACCTCGTCTTTGCGGTTTACAATCATGCAAGTTTACGCTATGCAATTTGGCCTTCACTAGCTACCGAAAAAAAAAAAAACATTTTTTTTTTTTTTTTTTATTCCGAGTCAATCCTGCCTTAAATTACGGCATTACAGGGGAAAAAAAAGGGCAAGCGATGTTCCTCATGGGTGGCTGTAAAAGGGCCCCGAAGCCGACCGCTATACACAAAAAGTCCATCGAAAAAAAAAACCATTCCGTGTGATCTCGACCGTCACTTTTACTCAGCGACTTCATTTTAATGAGGACCGTCGAGGCTTTTTCCACGCAAGAACCAAAGAATCGACGCGGTTGAATTCAAAGAGGCCGGGACGTGTAACCTATGAAATACGTATTGACGTACGCAACCAGTCGATGCTATGAGAAGCGACACGCTAACGAGAAGGGTTGAGGCCTGAGAGGGAATATTCGGAGCTTTCATCTGCGAAGACTAACGACGCCGTGTTTGCGCTAAAGATTGAATTAAGCATAAGCTCACGCTGGCGCTAAAATAATAATAGATCGCGTGCCGTTTGGTTCATTTCCATTTTTGGATTCACGTTCACGTTATGCTACACTTCTTTTCTCTCCAAAATATGTGACCAAGCGAAATCCCTCCACCCCCCTCCCCCCAAAAAAAAAAAATCTAGACAGAAAAATAAGGCTTTTTCTTTGGCAAAGTGTAAGTTATTTTCTTGGAAAAGTCATGCTTTAAAAAAATAAGAATAATAACTTAACAATTCTTTTTGTCCAAACAAAAACAAAAAAATTTATGTTTTCTTTCAATCAAGTTTGGTTAATGTTGCAAAGTTTTGGCAAGTTTGAATGTTGTGCCTTTTGCACTTTGAAAAAAAAAAAGACAAGATGTGTTTATTATTTTGCTAAATGTATTACTAAAATTGAAACGTATTTAGAGCAGACCCCTTTATCGGCAATTCAAATTTTGTCATCCATCGGATTCGGAGTTGTGTGATGCTATGTGCCGCCAAGTAGCACCGATGACTACTTTGCCCCCCCCGCCACTCATCATGAATGTTGCCCATCCCAGCTCTCCGGGATACATTCAGTGAACATTTTGTGGAACAGCCTGCTTCCGTCGACGTGATACGATCGCGTATTTGTCTCGGTGTAGCAGCATGTGGCTCATTATTTTCAAAACTCACGACGCTGTTCAAGCGACCTGCAAACACGCGCTTGTTTATTTTTCTTTTTTTTTCTTCAACGTCCGTAACTCCAAGCTTTTCGAGTGCGTCTTGGTTCACATGGAAGAAGAACAAGCTGCTGCCTTCAAGGTGGGTTTATTTATTCATCTGGAATCGACCGCAGGCAAAATGGCTGCCGGAGTATCCTTTAGTCAGCAAACTTTATTTATTTGTTTTTTGGGGGGGTGGAGGAGGTACCAACATGATGAATCCAAAGCGCCCTGTCAGCACTTTCTTGCCAGCTACACTAAAGAACCGGCGTGTGTCTGCACTTTCAGACACACAAACATCTTTGATTACTTGCCAATAACTGAACAAGTCCAGCAATTTATGGACCAATTCGATTTGAAAGTGGACCGAATCGATTTGACTCAATTTTTTTTTTTTTCATTTTCTCTATTCTATGATTCCAATGTTAAAAAAAGAATAATAATAAAAAAGTCAACTAACATTTTGGGGTGAAGAAAAACAACAGCACACGTTCTGTCACTACATTGAAACAACAAATAAAGTTCTTGGTACATACTTTGAGAATTCTTTTTTCCTGCACAACGTGTGGAAATAAAATCAGGCCCACATGTGGCTTCTTGCTCTTTTCCAACGACGCTGAATGCCTTACGCAGCAATGCCACCTGCTGGCCGAAAGAGACAACTGACCCACCCTCCCCTCCCGTCTCCAATTAAAAAAAAAAAAAACACTTCTGCACTTGCTCATGCACCACTCTCATCGCTCATCAGGGGAAATCAAAGTATTTTAAACCGTGAATATTTCAAATAATGCAAACAAGCGAGGACAAAAATCAAGTCTTCTAATTGGAGCGGCTATTATTACCATCGACCGTATTTTGATTTGGATTTTTTGCCGAGAGCCAAATTCAATTATGCATGAGAATCTTTATTTATTAAGACATTCATTTTGTGCTCCGCCAGGTTTCATCTGCCCTTTTTTTTTTCCTGTTTACCTTCGAGGCGGCTGATTAATTGTCGCATAATGTTGGCTCGCCTCGTTAAGAACGTCGACCGAGTTTGTGCGGGACTTCGGTGGCGGAGACAAACTTTTTCGATGAGATGGAACCGACTGTAAATGATGATAATGATCATAATTTCAAGCTGCCGGCGCACCTCCTTCGTTGGCGCGCGGAAAAACTTTCAATCGAGCGCGCTTCAGAAAGAGTCGGCCTGCCACGTCTAATTATCTGACCTATCGGGTGTTGCCGACGACTTTGCCGGCGTTTTTTCAATCAGCTCCTCCTCCCTCGGAGGACGCGTTTGCAGACGCCATAAAAACGGGGAATATGCCGGATGCATCCTGGGATGGAAATATCATTCGGAGCGGCCGGCCCGTTGAAGCATTCGCAAACGCTCAACGGCGGAGTGCTGTGATGAATCAATCGCATTTTGTTTAGTATCATGCAGATTACTTTGTGTCTGTTTGGGGGGGGCTTTGGGTGGGGGAATTGCAATTATTGTCTTGCAACAGTGCGCAAATGGGGGAGTGCTGGGGAGTAACTAATTACATGTAATAAAATGTAATCTGATTACAAAAGTCGATGTAATTGGAGTCCACGTGTAATGACGCACTGCATTAGGTCAACAGTGGATGTTTTCCACATCTTCTTCACAGAATTCAACAAACATTGTTATTTTTTTAATGATGCATTCATATTTCTTCATTATTAAAAAGTAAAAAGCGCCGATATGTTTAGTTCGGCAGTTAAAGACATTTTTTGACATGAAACATCCAAAGGGACTTGTTGATGAATTCATTCTGGACTAACAAATCTCATCTGTCATAATTGTGTTTTTGTTTCCGAGCTTACGGTTTACTGCGCTGTGCGGGGCCGCAAAATCCACCCGAAAATCAACTTGGAAGATGATTACATGACACAGCCTCAATATGTTCAACACCCTAAAAACAAATTACAAACAGCGGCGAGTGAGTCACGGCTTCCGTTGTTTCTCCCCGTAGTTTCGTTTATTCAAGAGGTTTTCGACAACACAAACTGCAGCCATTTCGTTTAAATGCGACCATTTGTACATTGAAAACGCTGTTTGAAAAATGAAACAACAACCCTTTTCTTTCTCTCTTTGTTTTTGCAACTTTATAAGGGACGAACAAAGAACACAAGACAGATTGTGCCATCTTTGAGAGGGAACAATCTGCTCAGCTTATTAAAAAAAAAAAGTGTGGACCGGCGCTGGGCGATATGAGCGATAAGTACATCACGATAAAAGGATTTCATACCGCTCGATTTCCTGATTTTAGCAAAGGCATTTTCCATTGATATCGATCACTTCGGGAAAAAAAAATCCCATTTGTGTACTGTTAGTGGTTGTGAATAACTTTGTCCAAAACTAGCGACGGGTGCATGCTTCCAAGTAGCATATTTGGACAGCAGAAACAAATTTGCCAGCAATTTCTTGCATAGTGTTGCATTTACTTGCTGCGCCTTGCTACGCTGTTGGTGTGCGCCTGCGTGTCGAACGTGCAGAAGAACCTGAGCGGTCGCGTCTACACGAGGCCCACCGCCGTTGTCGAGGGGCCCACCGGTGACGTCGCCGCCGCCGCCACGTTGGCACCTCCTTTCGCTCGGTGCCGCTGGCCGCCTCGCCGCCGCCCTCCGCCTCCTGATTTGAGCTGCCGACAGTAAAAGAAACGCACTCGTGACATCATCCGGGGGGGGGGACGATTAATTAAACAAGCACATTTTCTATAAGCTCTTCAACATTTAGGGAAGCTCGCTAAACTAAAAACATAATAATAATAATATTCATAATAATAATTGCTGATGGATCGCGAATGTACACTTACAGGAAGCGACGCGGCATTGGGACTGGGCGGTCGCATTTCCTCTGAGCCATCCCTGAACATTTTTTTGCCGGCTAGCATCTTGGCCTGCTGCGCCTTGGCCGCCTGCGTGTTGACCGACTGCACGAGCTGTGAACACCATTTTTTCTTTTTTCTCATCAGCGTTATCGAGCGCAACCGCCGGCGTTGGCGCCACGACGGCTAACCTTGGTGATGGTGCCCACGGCTTTGGTGCGGCCCTCGCGGAATACCAGCTTGTGGTCGCAGCGCAAATACTCGGGCGTCTTGATGAAGCGGAAGTGGACGGCCGCCTTGTCGCCGGTCCGCAGGCAGTCCTTGCTCATGGTCAGGATGGTCGCGGTCTGACGGATGCTGCCGCAGTGGACTGACGGCCGGCGGGCAAGGGAGAAAAAAATTGGAGTGTGATTCCAGAAGCGGCGGCTTCGCAGTGGCGACAAAAGATGGAGGACATTTTCAGCGGGAGTCCTGAAGCGATGGTAAAGGACGTTTGTTTTAAGAGGCGGCGGTAAAACAGCACTGGCAAAGACGGAGAAAATTGACATTGTGCTTCCGTAAATGGTGGCAAAGTGGCGGCATGCAAAGAATGCAAAGAAAAATTGGTTCAGTGCTGAAATAAGTTTGGGATTTTTCATTTTACACTTTTTTTTTTTTTTTCGGAGAGTGTCAATTAGTTTTTCGCTTTGGCTTGTTAATTTGTATCTTTTTTTTTTTTTTTGATACAATTTATCAAAATAACGACACTTCAAACAAATCCCGCAAGCTCAATGTATGAAATTAATTGAAAGAGACCAAAACAAACTTGTCATATAATCGAAGTTCGTTTTGGTCAGTTCTTTTTCACATTTAGTTTCAAGTGATTCATCATTTTTAAACGCACTCAGTTTTATTTTATTCCTTTCACGAATTGTTCCCCCCCCCCCCCCGGTTTTTGCTTGTTTTCATCAACTATAATAACCTTGGTGTGATTCCAGAAGCGTCAGCAAAAACGGAACACGATTTTAGCGTGAGAAAGATGCGCGCCGTTTTCAGCCCGATTCCGGAAGCAGCAAAAAAAGCCGAAAGAAAGTGGCGGCGGTAAAGACGGAAACATTTCTCCGTGTGATTGCAGAAACGGAAGCAAAGGCAACGCGATGAAAAAGAGCCGAGTACGTTCTCAGCGGCGGCGGCAAAGAAAGAAAACATTCACCGAGAAATTTTGAACGGGATTGCAAAAAGCGGCGGCGTCCGAGCACGCGGGCGCTCACCCATGGCCTGGTAGCGCGGTGATATCGTGGTGGGGTGGTGCAGCACCAGGATCTCCGCCTCAAACTCCCAAGTGGCCTGCGGCATCAGCTTGGGGGAGACCAACACCATGCCTTTCCGTATCGACGAGCGCTTGATCTAAACGGCGACCGAGAGGTGTGAAAGTGGAACGGGAAAGGGCTGGCCGCGCCGCCCCTTCTCCCAAACGTGCCCCCCCACCCTCCCTCTCACCTTTTTGAGCGAAAAGGACGCAGTCTGGCCGCCGCGCACCTCCTTGACGGGCATCCTCTTGCGGTGGATGGACTTGACTGCGATCGGGATGAAGGCGCCCAGCGGGTCGGGACCCAGGAGGAGCGTGTCGTTGAGTCGGATCACGCCGCGTAACGTGGTGCCCGACACCACCGTGCCCACACCCTGGCGACAGACAAGTCGGGCAATAGAGAAGCCAAACGCAAGCACAAAAATGGTCCACTCGAGCAGGACGAAGTTTCTGGCGTGTCACTTTTCTCCGATGGCGTGTCTTGTCCCCTTGAGCGAAGTGCCACCTTGCCCGACAGACTCAACGGCGCGAGAAATAACCCAGACTCCCCCACAAAAAATTGCTCCGAACATCTTCTGTCATCACATTTGTGCCATAGCCCCCCACCCCCGTGATTCATCGTCAGCTCACACAATCCAACTACAACGGACGCTTCCCGTGTATGGTTTGTTTGGGGGGTTCGGGCACCCACCGGTACGGAATACGTGTCATCGATTTGGAACTCGGCGGGCTCGTCGTCGTTGAAGGCGGTCCTGGACGAGAGCAGGTTGAGGAACATCTTAAGGAGGTCCATGTTCTCGCCCGTCACGTTGGAGATCTGGAAGATGGGACACATCCTGCCAGGGAGGCAAGTTCAAGACAACAGCGGCCTCGTGAAACAAACGCATCTTGGCCATTCTACGAAACGGTGACGAGATGACGCATCGTGCGCGGCGCGAGCTCACCGCTCCGAGCTGAAGTTGGACGCCGTGACGATGACGTCGTCCTTGTTCTGGACCAAGACGGGAATCTTTCTGCAGCCGGGTGACTTCAAAAGCCGCTGGAGTAGTTTGAGAGTTTCTGGAGGCAAGCCGTTGTTGGAGATGAGAAAAATATGTTTTTTTTTTTTTCTGTACATATTTTATGTACGAGTTTCTGGTGTTCGACGTCTTTTTTCGTCTCTTCAAATCTTAAATAACAAGCTCTGAAATACAATCATTGTATTTTATTAATGTTGGGTTTAATTTGCAACATTTCAATTTTTCTTTTTTTAATCTCATGCCATTTTTTTGAAATAGATGAAACTACTGCATTCTACCAATTACGGTCGGAAATAAACGCACACGATTTTGTCTGTTGATGTGTGTGTGTGTGGGGGGGGGGGGGGGGGGACAAAAAATATTAAAAAACAACAACCAAAAAACTCCACGACAAGACGAACCTTGCAGGATGTTGGTGGGACACATGTCTATCTTGGTGACCACCACAAAGACGGGCACGTTTAACGCCAGCGCCAGACCCAGGTGCTCTTTGGTCATGCCAACGATGCCAGCGTTGCTGCCCACCTGCGGGAAAATGCAGGAGTGCTTTAAATAGTTAAACGAAAATGGACAAATAACTCACAGATGAGCTCACTTGCTTGTTTTTCTTTTTTTTTTAATAAAGGAAAATTAATTCAGAAAAAAAATTTGAAAAAGGTTGAAAAGTTTATCTAAGATGTTGACTAGAAAAAAAAAACGCAGTCACTTATTCCATACATTTACTTTCAATAAATCACGCTATTTTTCAATGAAAAAAAAAAAAGACATTTTATTGTAAAAAGTGTCTATTTTTGTGCCACTATTTTTGATTTTATTGACTACAATTAATCCATTTCCAAATGATTTTATAAGTAGTTCAGATAATGGTTGGATGGAAATACATCAAAATATAAAAGTCTTGATATTACAATTTACAATAAAGCAACAAGTTTAAGAAAATGGACCCCCGTCTACTCGCAGCTCGGCACACGCAGAGTTGCTTCATCGCAGATTTTTTTTTCTCAATATTTAAAAAATATTTGACTTTGTTTTTTCCTGCCCCATTTTCATGGAAATCATGTGTTGAATGTTTTGCAGCCTTTCAATGCAATTTAAACGATTCTATGTGGAAAAAGGCAAAATCAGTGCAAGAAATAAAGAGAACTCTCTTGCTCACGTAAAATCCCCAATTCACACTCGTAAATTCTCAGCGGGCCGGATTACGGAAGCAAGTGGGCCCGCGGGCCGTACCGGGGGCACAAGCGCAGCCTCACCATGAGCATGCAAAAGTCGGGTAGGTGTCCGGTCATGCCGAACACCGTGGTCTTCAGGTACTTCTCGTGGCCCGCCAGGTCGATGAAGGTGATCACCTTGGAGGACTTCTCGCAGATCTTGGTCCAGTCCAGGCTTCCGCCGTGGCTGTCGGGCTTGTTGACCACCTGGGGGAAAGGAGACGGCGCGCGGTGACTTTGTGCGGGGCGTGGAACGTTACCAGGGCGCTTCGTGTCCCGCGTGCACCGCACCTGGCCCTCGTGGTCGAAACCCAGGATGTCGTTGCCCACGCTGCTGGTCCGGCCGCTCTCCATCTCGTGCTTGTGCCTGAAGAGCTTTTGGCGCGCGAAGCCACGGCCGTTGTCCAGCTCGCCGTGGGTCAGGACGCCCAGCAGCGTGCTCTTGCCGGCGTCCACGTTGCCCACCACCGCCACCCTGGACCCAGGAAGTGCAATTCAAGTTGTGAGTCAATTGTGCACAAAAGAGGGAAAGGCCAACTTCCACCTGACAGCATAACTAATAGCAGCTCAAGCCCACCTGACTTCCAGGAAGTCCTGCTCACCCACGCGGCGGCGGATGAGGTAGTCGCAGATCTTGCCGCCCACCTCTGTGCGCTCCCTCAGCGGGATGAGGTCGGCCTCCACCTGCTCGCACAGTGATTGCACCGTGGCCACCGACGCTTCCATGTCTCTGTCGCTCAGGCCGTAGTCGCCGCCATCTGAAGACCACCACATGAAGATAAATAAAATTAAATTAAAAATCATCAATCAAGTCACATTTGATCCTGTACGACATTCTTACCTGAGCCCATTCCAACCACGAAGATGGTCTCGCCGCAGCCCTCGTCAAGCCGCGCCCGTAGATGTCGCTGCAGTGCGTCGTACTGTTCACCTGTCGGACTCACCAAGACCATCTGAAAAGTACAAATAGGGAAAACTATGCAGATACATCAATCAGATTAAAAATTATGAAGATGCCCGTCTTTCTGTTGCAGGCTTCTCACTTTATATTGTACTTATTTATGTAATTAAATACATTTTTTGTGAGTAATATAGCTGCGCGGCAGGCCAGGATGACCAAAAATAATGGGAAATAGTAAAAAGGACACAAAGAAACATGGTTTTGGAAAAAACTCAACTCAACTCAACTGTATTTATAAAGCACTTTCAAACAGCCATCGCTGCATACAAAGTGCTGTACATGGAGCAATTCAACATATACAACAAACAGTAAAGCAAAAAGGTTTTATAATGCTTTCAAGCTACACTAGGTTTGACAATTTTACAACAAAAATCTGGAATTAGTTGGCGTGGTCATACATGCAGCTAGGTGTAGATTGAATCTAATATATTTGAGAACAAAATAAATTATTCTAAATGAATGTTTACGAGTTTATTGTTTTGTTTTGGGTTTTTTTAAGGTTTTTTTTTTTCTGAGTGTCTCTCGTCACGTCTAGCACGGCGTGCCCCTTCTAAATTAACGGGTTCGGGGGACGTATCACTTGTGTCACAGCATGAAACGTGTATGTATCGGAATGCATTTGACAAATCAATTCATAACTTTTTAAAAAGTACATGGTATCAAGGGAGGCCGACCTTGTTGCTTAAATCCAAAACTTCCGCCGATTCGCCATCGGTGCCCTCGCTGTCCTCCAAGCTTTCTCCCTCGCATGCATCGTCGTCTGCAGCGGCGCAGAAGCCCCGATCCGGGGCGAACATACAAGCGGGCACAGTGCATTCGGCGGCGGCTATCGTTGCTGCTCCCGTCGTCACGGACGACGCCATGATATGTCTATCACAAAAAAAAAAATAATAATAATACTAATAAGAACGTGGAAAGGACAAAGTTGAGACAAGTACACATCGGCTATTAGCCTTTAGCCGGTACTCGGCTAAATACTTGGTCAAGTTCAGTTCAGGTTAGCCAGCGAGCTAATGTTACACACAAACATACACACAGATTCTTTCAACAAGATTCAACCTTTTTCAATGGCCTCAGAACATGTCAGCTGCCTAAATCACAGTGATCGGTGTCCAAACAATTGATGAATCGACTTTTAAGTTACATGAAACTACTCTCTTATTGAACAGAGGAATATTAATTTAAAAAACAACACCGGTCGCTACCTGTTTTAGCTCTAACTTGTTGGTTGTTTATTAGCTTGAGGTGATATTCTGTGAGTTGGCTCTAAGGCACGCCTATGGTAAAATACGCACACACTATTGGCTGAAATATCTTTACGGGTCGCCCACTGCACTGAGGTCCAGCCAATGAGATGTGCCAACTGGTACGTGATGAAGAAGGAAACTGATGACAGACTTTCACTCGCGCAAGCGTGCTTGACAGAAGACAAATATATTTATGTGGGGATAATATTATTGTTAGTAGTAATAATAATAAGAAGAAGAACGAAAGGAAACTAAAAAAGCAAACGCCAATCACAAAATGCACACGGGAAACGGGACATTGTGTGACGCCCACTGTATTTGAGGTTCGGCCAATGAAGTTGTCTGGCTTGTCCGTGATGTCAGCGACAGTTTCATTTTTCATTGCAAAAAAGGACAATCCGAAATAAAATATATTTTAATCTTTAAGTATATTTTAAAAGTAATTAATAATAGCTCATTTTGCCTGATCTTGAAATGGTTATTCTTGCTGACATAATTAGCCTGCCGATGTATTTCATTGACTCAAACCCAATAGTGTATGTATTGTAAGCATATTTTTACTGACATTTTTTCCCATAGTAGGTGTCGTTGGCATGGAAATGTTTTACTATCCTGCCCCTTCCTGTCCCCATCACCTCCCCCACCTCCTCTTCCCGCTTCACCTGTGTTATATAAAGATCAGGACCAGTCATTGGAGTCTCTTGTCACTCGAGGCACGACCCACTCAAGACCCAAGCCAAGATGGTAAGTAGTGCACTAATATTCATTTCTCATTTCTATTTCCTCTAAAAGTTCATCTTGATTTTGGAGTCAAAACAAATTACTTTTCCATTTCAGCGGCTCTGGTTAAGGTAGTAAATGTTAATTTCTCACTGCTGACGCTAATCTCAACGGTTCTTTAATCGTGTAAATCGTTTTTCATACCGTGGATAGTCTCAACTATTGAACTGACAAGAAACAGGAAAAGCTCATTGTAATGAATTGTAATTACTCTCATGCAGACGACTGCTCTTATGTAGTAAATGATAAACTGGCGCCTCTTTAAGCGGTACAGAACAGCAAATCGTATGTGTGGGTGTGGGCCAGGATGTGCGCGAGATAGCATTTGACTTTTATTGATGATGTAAAAAGCAAAACTCAATCAATCAATCTATCACGTACATAAATAAATCATTTTTACTTTTCATAAGCATGGAAAGATTCTGTAAGTAATGTGCATACAAATGTAATATCGACAGATATGTACGTGGAGTGCGGATGGTTTATGGTGAGGTGTGTCTTTATGGCTTTCTGTGGTGAGCACATATGCGGTGTCCAAACAGACGCTTCCTGTTGCCAGAGATGATTATGCTATGACCTGGTTGATCATTAACACTGACGATAAGAACGTCTCGCGTAATCATTAGCGGAAAGTAGAGTCGTATTGTTTCACCGAACAGGCAGCCATTAGGTCAACTAATAAGAATACCGTATATGTCTATGACGTATGATACCATATGAAACAATACACACCATTAATCTGTCCATCCATTTGTCCACCCATCCATCCATCCGTTTGTCGTTGTCCATCGCAGAAAGTCCAGAACATGACCTTCAAGGAGGGGCAGGAGTTCAAGATCCGTATCAAGCCCAAAGATGACTGCAGCAGGTCAGTCGCTCACCAATTTACTCTCTCGATGTGCCTGCTTTTTGCTATTTCGTTTTTCATGGTGACAACACGTCAACCTCTCGCAGATTCTCCATCAATATCGGCCACGACTCGGAGAACATCGCACTGCACTTCAACCCGCGCTTTGACGACAGCGTCATCGTCTGCAACTCCATGTCGGGAGGCTGCTGGGGCGAGGAGCACCGCGACGAAAACCTCTGCTTCTCTCGTGGTGAGGAGAGCAAGGTATGACACCCCCCACCCCATCTCCCCCCAGCAGTTCTTCAACTCTCAAAATATGTCGACACCTGAAAGCAGCTAGGCCACAAGGGTTGTCCAAGTGATCATTTCAAAACGTAAACACCGGCAGATATTTATAGAAATAAAGTGTTGCATATTGATACGTATACAGTATAGGTATTGTGAGAAATCATTCGCATTGTCAGTGTCTTAACACACATGATGATCATTAATTATTCATAAAAACATGGCATGTAACGAAAGTTCATTTCAGCAAAACGGTTATTTCAAGTGTGTATCAAAGGGGAGCCCTTCGTGCTGGTCACTCGCCAAGAAGTAGCTCTCTGTTCCGGAAAGGTTGGCGACCTCGCCTTAGACTGGATGAGTTAGCATGGTTCAAATGCTAACAGTTAGCGACTGGCGTTTCATCATATTCAGCGCCTTTCCAAAATACAAGGATGTTCAAGGATGCACGAAGTTAAGGAAGGAAGCGAAATCTGAGCTCTTTAATGACTTGTCGGAGGATAGCTTCGCTAACATAGCATTAGCTAACAGCAACGACGGCGCACACTTTTCATTTTAGTTGCTGGACAGAAAGAAGTCAAATGTTCTCATATTGTACCGCATGAATTTAGGTTGAGATAAATGGGGAATTGAAAGGGCATTTTCACTCGAGCGACTTTTTTTGTTTTGTTTTATAACCATTAAGCTGCTGAACTGTGCTTGTAACGTAGGGTTTAAAGACACTCTTCGGTGTAATTGTAGTTGTTTTATTTGTCTTAAAAGCCATTCCCAAGACGAAGCCTGTGAGTGGATCAGGTCTTCGGTACTGCCACTATGCTAGGTCAACAGCTACATAATCACACGGAGCTTTATTGGGCCATAAAAAGCCTTTTTAAAAGATACAGGGGTCTACCTTAACATTTCAAAGTCCACTAACCGCTTTTTTTTTCTCTGTCTTCCAGTTCTACATCAACTTCAACTACGAGGAGTTCTATATCAAGCTGCCCGACGGCTCCATGATGAGCTTCCCCAACCGACTGGGCGACGTCAAGTACAAATACTTCGATGTGGGCGGCGACGCCAGGATAGTCGGCATCAAAATCAAGTAGAGATTGCCTTCATCTGTCGAGCGACGGTCGCTTCAACGTTGGCAAACCTGTACGTGACTCCTCATCATCCATCCTGGCTCTCCTAGAAAGCTTGGAATGAACTTTTTCACCTTGGAGTGATCTTGTCATGACAACAACAAAAAAAAAAGCCTCGAGAAGGAGCTAGAAAACAGCCTGCTTCGATGGTCAACGGGTTTGCGAATAAATATGATTAAAATGGACAATATCTTTAGTTTTGTGCGTGCGCGCGCGCGCACACACACACACACACACACACACACACACACACACACACACACACACCATTTTCCAAGCTCTAAAGCAAAACAGTTGTCATTTCAGGAGATAACACACATACAAACAAAAAAGGGAAAAAAGTTGGAAAAATTAGCTGAATGTTTTAAATGGGGAAAAACTTTCGAATGTCTTGAGGGGTCCACACTACAGTGTACACACTCACATACACACACACACACACACACACACACGAAATAACTGAAACTTGTGCAACTTGAAATTTAAACATAAAGGGTTACATTAGTTTGGCCATTTTGGGCTAATTTTAGAGGGGGGGGGACTATTTGGGGAGTCTTCTTCTGTCAGAAGGCAATTGCGTGTGTGTGACATAAAACCAAGACCAAAGAAAAAAAAATCCAATGGGCCTGTGAGATAATTAGCAGCAGGACTCTGAAGAGTGGGAAGAGGCCGAGGAATGTAACATTGCGTGACTACATTTCCAAAAAGAAGAAAGTGTGCGCGGCCATGTGGGAAAGCTAAAAATAATACCAAATATAAATGATCATAAAAAGTCTACCCTGCAAAGAGGTGGTCAAGTATCAATAAATGATCACTGGGTACCACTTTGCATTGATTGAAAGAGGTTTATCCCTGGTTTCGGAAAGGTCTTTAATGTGATGATGAACATATAAAGTACAGAGTTTACCTTGAGTCGCTTTTTGCATTAAAAGGGGCAAATTAATGGATTATGTTTTGATATCCAGAAAATGATTCATAAGTGGGTTATAAAGATTTTAAAATATTCACGTTCATGTAAAAATCCATCGTTTTCCCCCTGAGCCGAATAAGGGAAGGGAAATCACTTTCACCTTAAGCCGAAGCCTTCAGTCAAGACTTGCCGGTCTATGAGACCCGAGAGGGCGAGCTTCCTGTCGTCTCCATTCTGCTAGCCAGCGTGGACTGGCCTTTCTGGGCCAGGTAGTCCTTGTAATTGTTGGTCAGCAGAGTGTAGAGGAAAGGATTGACGCAGCTGTTACCGTATGTCAGACAGGTGACAAAAAAGTTGACGTAGTTGTGAGTGGCCGCGGAGAGAGCCTTGAGGGACTCCGGTGAGAAGAGCTGGGTCAGCTGCCACCCCCAGAAGGGCAGGAAACAGGCCCAGTAGGCCACCACGATGCTAAAGATCATGACTGCCACACGCTGTTTGAGTCCTCGCCGTCGGGCCGAGCGGGCCCGTCCTCCCGCACGGGCCTGGCTGGCCCAGTAGCGTCGAGCGAGGCCCACATAAAGCGACACCATGATCAGACCCGGGATCAGAACGCTGGTCAGGAACAGGATCCCCACGTAGGCCTTGAAAGCCTCCGGGGTCCACGTCGGGAAGCACATGCGCTTCACCACGGGGGGGAAGGATGTGCACCGCACGAAGGGGATGGTGGACAGGTAGAGCAGGTCCGCCAGGGCCAGGTTGGCCACGTAGATGTAGACGGAGCCCTTGCGGCGCAGTGCCGCCGAGCGCGTGATGGCCAGCGTGTACGCGTTGCCCGCCGTGCCCAGGAGCCACATGACCGTCAGGGTGGCGCCCAGCACACACGTCACCCACAGGCCGGCCGCGCCATCGCTGACGCTACTGTCCAAGGAGCCTCCCGTGGTGTTAGAGGTATTGTTGGTCATGTAGTTCATTGGGGGTCAGTGTCGGCAATCCGATGGCATCTTCTGAGACTCCAATTATTTTGACAGCAATGCCGTGAAGAAATTGTCAGGCTCCTGTACATGAATGAAAAGCTGCTAAATACTTTCTGGGAAAACAGTGTCATTTAGCCGCAAAAAAATGGTCATGCTGTCAACCATCTTTTTTTTTTTAAGACTTTGGCAAGGAAAAAAAAAAAGATAATTGAACCGGAATCTTACAAAAAGCACATGTGCAAGAAAATGTCAGCAGCTTTACATTATGACAGAAACACAGTCAAAAGCTGGAAAGAAGAGAGGGGAATTTGACAAAAACAACGACAAACCTTGTCTGGCGGTCCCAAGAGAAGCAAGAGGAGTCACATCAGATCGGTGGCCTCCATCCGTGCCGATATTCCAAATGGAAGCCGACTTCCCGGAGGTCTTGTCAGTTCATTGGAGCCGTTGCAGCTCTCCCTTCTGTTGTCTTTTTGTCAGTCAAGTGTTAAAGCGCCACCCCTGCCCACCCAAAAACCTCCACCTCACAAGCGCCGGTGGGAACTTTTGGACAGTCTCAATCCCTGTTTGAACATTCGGTTGAGTTGAGTATTCGAGGAATGTTGGACGTATTGTTTCAGTGTATTGGTGTTGTTTGAAAAGGATGGGACACAGCAGGACAGCAACTAAAAAATAATCATAATAATTTAAAAAAAGTGAAGGCGACAAACTTTTTATTCAGTAAAAATCATTTTGTGTGTTAAAAAAAAAGAGTAAGAGTTAGGGAAGCATATTGCATTTATTTGGATTAATTTTCTGAGTAATTTATTTGGAACTTTATTTTTTAAAATATTTTTTTAAGTTCCTGTGTTTCTTTCAGTTATATGGATTTTTTTCCTGTTTTTCAGTCAAAGATTTCACATGTTTGTTTTGAGGAGGTTCTGTCATTGACAAAGAAATGGAGAAAAACAGAGAAAAATCCCCCCTAAAAGAGAAAAAAAATCTGTAAAAAGAAAACTATTCCAGAAAATAGAAAATAAATCGGAAAAACATATTTGTAAACCAGAAAAATATGTACTCTGAAAAACTAAAAAAAAAATTAAAAACAAAGCCCCGGCAAATTACTCTGAAATAAACATTTTCTTAAATGCAATGCAAGTGTAAGCCTCCCAAAATATATTAAAGAAAAGAAAATATAATCGGAGAGACTTATCATGGGTTAGGATATAAAAAGAGCCACTGAATGGCGCTGTTGGATTGTTGAACGCTTGAGAAGATGACCCACTCGTTGCCTGTTATTTTCAGTCCTGGTTTTTTGAACACTTGATGGGGGGCCAAAAAAAAAAAAAAAAAAATCCTGTTGGCAATCTGCTGCTGGGTCAATGTCTGTGCTTGAACAAAGCCTCCACTGGAAACAAAACACACACAAGTTGCATGAATAGACTGCCAGTAGTTGCCTGGGGGCATTTAAAATTTTGACAGAAAATGTTGTCTTGATTTTTCCATGTTTTTTTGTTGTCAATTTTAGAGAGTTTATTTTTTTAAATCTGAATATTGCTTGAATACCACAAAAACTGAAAATTGTGGAATTTCCTAATAAAAAAAAATCAAATGTTAGAAATGTGTCTGAATTTTGTAATTTTGAGTGAACTCAACCTAGAATTTCAGGAGACAGTTTCAGTGTGTAAAAATAAAAAAATAAATAACGAAATAAATAAAAGGTAGATTGAAAGAAAATTGTTGCAGTTTCGCCCTGTCGCCAAATTGTATGCGAGCGACGTTTGTCTTGCTTTGCGAAGATTCAAGCGAGTGAGCTAACTGAGCCTCTCACTTCAGCTCCGCTCTTCGCTTTTAGTTTCTGTCTGGAGCAAACTGCTTCTTCCTTGACTTAATTGAACAAAAACGACACCAAAGTACCAAAGGGTGGATGTGCAGCCTCGAAAGACGGCACAGGCTTCTTTTGATCAAATGGCTTCATGTAGCGGTGTGGGTAGCCAACTGTTATTTTATTTTATTTTAATAAGTGGAGTTAGGCTGCGCTGCTGTTGGGGTAAAAAAAAAAAAAACACGCCGAGGTCTTACTGGTGTACTCCTGCGGGGACATCTGCGCGTTCATGACGTCGTTGAAAAGCTTGAGCCAGTCGAGCTGCTCGGCCTCCGTCTCGCATGTGAACAGGAAACAGCGGTCGGGCGTGACAATGGTGATGCCGTGCTGCCACGCGCCATTGCAGTAGGTGCCGGCGGGCAGGCCGGCCGAGGCGCTGTAGTGCTCCTTGCTGCCCAGAAACACCTCGCCCTTGGCGAAGGCGTCCTGCAAAAGGAGAAAAAATATGGCTTGGAGACAAATGGCCTTGCTTAAGAAAGAGAGAGAGAAAAAAAGGACATTTTCACCAAGCATTTTGCTTCAAAAAATGTTTTAAAAATGGCCATCGAGCTGGAGTTCATTTTCAATTTCATGAGTACGATTGTGTAATTTTGTCAACTTTTTTTGTTTTTGTGAATATTTGTTTGCAGTTTTGGGAGACTGTTTAATTTTTGTATTAAAAAAATATTTGTGCAATAATTTTGTCTGAGTTTAAGATTAAATGTATTTTTTGTGGGGAAGGGGGGTTGCGATAGTAATTTGTGAGAAAATTGCATGTGGACAAATTTGTTGTAAACTAATTAGTTTACAACAAATTTGCAACAAAAAATTGCCATTGTGCCAGAATTCTTTTTAATTATGAGTAAAATTATGAAATTATGCAACATTGCTTGTTCTTTTTTTTGTTTTGCAAATATTTGCACATTTATTCAATTCTGAGAATTTGTGACCAAAAAATGAAATTTGTTAGAACTGTGCCATATTCAGATTCATATTCAGATTCAGGAAACTTTATTCATCCCCATGGGGTAATTTGGTTTTAATGGTTTATGGTGATAAACTGGCACCAAAAAAAAAAACCCTAAATCACATTTTGTTAGATGTGTGTGTGACACATTTTTAAATTTTGAGATTTTTTTTTTTTTTGTGAAATGTGAAATTTTGTGGAAAGAACAATCATATTACACCAATAAAGCTATAAACAAAGAAAAAAAAATCCCAATCTGACAGGCATCAAGTTGATTTAATATGAGCACGTGGAGTAAACATGTGTGTGTTTGTCCTACCAGCGGGTCCTTGTAGTACATGAGTCGTCTCTGGTCCAAAGTGAACCAACGTTTCTTGAAGCCTTCTGTTTGCTAGCAAAAACACAACCAAAAACAAAACAGTAATTGTTACCAGTGCTGCAGTCACGTGCGCGAGATTTTTGCCCAAACTTGAATGACGTCTTTCAGATGGAAAGACGGACGGGGGAAATCCGAGTCCGAGTTCAGTGGCGGTTCGGATTTCCGAAAAGGCTCAATGTTGAAAGAGGCATTGTTAGCGTTCGTGTCTCGGATCGGAGTCGTTTGTTCCGGTACGAGACTCCGCTGTGTGCAGGCCACCAGCCATCATTTCGTACGGAAATTGTGAACGGCAATTGGTGGACTTTGGACGTGGCTTTGGGTTTATTTGACTGGAATGAAACGCAATGTCGACAAAATAATCTCAAGGCAAGCTAATTCCAATATAGCCTTTCAAAATTATAGACGTCAGGGGTGTCCAAACTTTTTCATTTGAGGGCCCGATACATGAAAAAAACTGGAAAGATGAAAGGTCCCCTTTAAAATCCCGTTTCCACATTCAGAACCCCCCCTCCCCCCAAAAAAGAACAAACTGCACTAAGGTAAGCATTTTTCAATGATCATTCACGCGACGTCTTCATAAATCAGCCAGCGAGTACAAAGAGGGCCAAACTATTTTTGTTTTTCCTGTGACATATTTTGCGTTATGCTTATTTTACATTCTTTATTCCAGCTTTTAGTTTTGATTATCATTATTATTCTTTTTTCAAATTTGTGGGTTGTGTCATATTTTGTTGAATTGCGTTGTTCTTGTGTCTTTTTGCCAGACCTACCCGGGGACCCGTCTTCTCCATGTAGCCCTCTTTCAGGAAGTTACGGGTGAGTTTCGGAACCAGCTGAGACCAACAAACACACAACAGTCAACAGTTAATTAAAAAAAAAACAAAAAAAAAAACGTTTTTTAAATCCCCAAACTTAGACATTGTCCCATGCCCGCGTTGAGATTTCACGGTCAATTTTAAGTCAACTATCTGTCCAGAAAACAAGCTAATTGGGACTCATTTTTGGCCAATTCCCATGTTGGGCTTGGACAAAGTACAAAGTAGTTCCGTCATGGGTTCGAGAGAATTTTCCAAGGATCGTGTTAAGAAAGACACTTCGGCCCAGTTTCATGTTCATTGGTTACACCGGTGATCGTAGCATTTTTTTTTTCTTCAAACAAATTCTGAGGCCTCATTTTTCATTACATTCTCCAAAATGGGCGAGTCAGACCAAAATTGTTGACTTCCTGTTCAGTTTCAGTCGAGGGGTCGTCCTTGAGTCACTTTCGAGCATGGTCTTTTTTGGGGAGGGGGGGGTAGACATGTCCCACCAATTGCGTGCCAATTGGCGGAAGCTTCCAGGGGGGGGGGGCGCTATGGAGCGTACTGACCTCTGCATCGGTGGCTCCGGGAAAGGCCACCTTCATGTAGTGAAGCTGGACGGCTCGGATGGAATTAAACCAGTCGACGATCTCCTGCGGGGGGATAAGGCACAGAATCAGGCCGGGACCAACGTACGGACCCCTCGGCGACCCACGCGTTTGCGGTAGCGTCACTCCGAGGCGGACCTTGCCGCTGTCGTGGTAAAGGAAGATGTTGCGGGTGCTGTAATCTTTGAGATATGTAATCTGCAGGCCGTTGGGATGTCCGATCTTGTCGGGCTGGAAGGTGGCGTTGATGCTGTCCACCTTGATCACCGCTTTGGGCTCCTTGGCCTGCAGGGGGCGGAAAATACAAAATCTTGGGAGTTTATGTGCATCTCTTTTCTAAGCCACGCCCTACAAAAAAAATTATTATTGGGGAAAATGGATAGTCTTGAACGTTTCTTCGATACTGTAGACTTTGTCCTGGAGAAAATTTGGCAAGCTGTCCAGCAATGAGGCACGGAGACTGTTGACATGGTCGACAGTCCCTGAGCCAATCAGGATGCAGAACACAAATGCACGGTTAAAAAAAAAAAAAAACATGAAAAAAAATGCACGGAAAAAAAATCAGACAGCTCAGGTGTGAAAGATAAACTGTTATAGTGAGGGATTACTGTATTACATAAATCTTGTGGCCAGTCTGCAGGAACAAAAAAAAAAACAACACATTTTTGTAGAATAAAAATAGTAATAAAGAACTTGGAAAATTGCAGATTTTTTTTCATTAAAAAACTGAGTGTAACAGTCAAATAGTATATCTATTATTAGTCCTTTTTGGAGAAAAAATGAAGGTTTTTATTTTCAGTTGAAGGATTTTTTTTGTTTTTAATCATGGGAAAATAATTAATTTAACAGCAATGTTGCATTTTTTTTCTCAAGAAAAATCTCAGTCAGAACAGGATAAAGTTAAATTTGTACCGTGTGTTGTTCTTTTGTTGTTGCGGCTAATATGTGTGTGTGTGTGTGTGTGTGTGTGTGTGTGTGTGTGTGTGTGTGTGTGTGTGTGTGTGTGTGTGTGTGTGTGTGTGTGTGTGTGTGTGCGCGTGTGGCGTGTGGCGAGGACGTTTGCTTACATCATGTTTGGTGAAGTACTTGAGCGTGCCCTCCCGCTCGGAGAGGACGAATCGCCTGCTGAGGAAGAGGCCGTTGTCGCGGCCCCTTTTCATCAAGGTGCCATCCCTGATGGCTGTGGGGCAAAGGTCAAGCTTAGCATTGGTGTCATTTGACTCTCAAAGTACTTTTTGAGGGAATAAGTCTTTGATTTTCAAAAGGGCGCAGGATTCTCTTGAAAATATCGGTTTGGTCTAAAATTTGCAGTTTTTCAGAATGAAGGCTACATGATGAAAAATTAAAAGTACTTAAAAAAAAAAGAGAAATTATCCATAAAATCACTGCTTAAAAAAACATGATTAAAAAAATTCTTGTTCAAAAATTCCAACAAAATTGTTCTCCTTTCAAAATAAATGCAACACTCCCCCCAAAAAGTTTTTCAACAGTTACAAAGTAGTACTGTTTGTAAAAAACAAAAACAAAAAAAACTTTTATCAACAACAACAAAACAATCCTCAAAACTACATTTTCAGAATATGTGCTGCATTGAGAAAACAAACATTACATAATTTTTAACCCCATTTTTAATTACAGAATATAATCAAAGCACTACTTTAAAAATTTTTTAAAAAAACCAAAATGCCAACATTTTTCGTTCCTCTGGCTTTGAATACATCAGAATGCGTGTGTCTCCACTTGCCTTCCTCGTACGTAAACTTGTTGGCCGATTCGGTGAATTCCTTGCGCTCGTACTTTGCTCGAATCCACTGCTCCTTCAGCACCCTAACAAACAACACAATAAAACCAACACAAAGGATTGAACAATCTGCGTGAGAGCAGGAGGCTGCTACACTAACTCGTTCAAAATCGCCGTTGTCACTGACAACTTTTGTGACGCGTAATATTGGCGACCCAGCCAAGACACGTAAACTCATCCCACTGCCAGCCCATTTTCAGACCCAGACACCAACGATCGAACGTTCGGATTCTTAAAAGACATGAAAAAACGTCCCAGGCATTGAATGAGTTTCAATGTTGAATTAGCATGCTAGCTTCAAAGCTAACTTTCGCTTCTGACTTAACAATTGTTGAAAACCTTTGGAAATGTCTGTTCTCACTGGCAGTCTTTGTGTGACGGCTTGTAATAGTAGACGGGAACGGAGGCCTCGTATTTGTTCTTCATCCGCTCGTTTCCATTCTCCGCCATGAACTGACAAAAATAAATAAATAAATAAATAAAAATTTAAAAATAGAGCACACACAGTACTTCGAAATAAGGGCATGGACATCATTAAAAAAAAAAAAAAGGCGAAAACTCAGTGGTGCTACCTGGACCTCGTGGTCCTCCCAGTGGGAAAGACTCAGCGACTTGACCTTGCTGATGTCGGGAATGTTCCGGTGGATGCCGGAACAGGCCAAGCAGATGAACACCCCCAACGAGGTCGAACCCCAGTCGGGATCTGCGCTACCACAACAGGAAGTTCACTCACAGAAGGATCCCCTGAACGGGTAATATTTGATGGGTCATTTTCATATCGAAATGTTGTCGCAATACACCGGAGGGATCTGTGAGCTGAAATGAGGCAACTTTTCAAGACGGCAAATGGCGTGGAAATCCAACAGCTTCGTATCATTTGTATATTAAGCCAAACTAATGGCCGATTATGTAAAAATAATTTTAAAAAGGTGTGGTGGGGGGGGCGGGGGGGATTAATGTTCCAACTTTTAGCCTTCATTTGGATTGATTTGCCTTTTTCTTATCTGGCAAACATTCTTATCAGATTCTTATCTCGGAAGAAGATGCAGGCCGCGTTCCTTAAAGGAGACGGAACCAGACGACAAGAACACAAAAATTAAAGACTTCCAAAAAAACAGAAAACCCAAAGCATAGAGTCATTTTGTTCATATGTTTACATGACAGTGGTGCAAAAAACTTTTTTGGGGGGGTGTTTTCCATTTTTTTGTTATTTTTCGTTGACTCTAATGCTTTGCTGGCACCTTTTGCAAATAAAGCCTTTGAATAAGGTGGTTGTAAAAAAGTTTGGTTTGGTGCTTGCTCAAGTACATTGCTTATTTTTGGGGTGGGTTGGTCCTAAAATCGTCTTCATTGGCCAAGCGATCGTCGTCATAGGGCATGCTTCTTTCGGGTAAAAAAAACTTTTTTTGTATTTAGTATTTGACTGTCTCCCTTTCGATACCTCCTTGAAGACACATTTGAAGGAAAAGCGGAGCTTCCTCGGCATGCCAGCACAGACGAGCGGAGCGGGACGAGGGCGTGTGCAGCATGTCACGACTTGCACTACATTTCAAATCCTCCTGGAGTTTCCACTCCGCAAAAGCCCCAAAATCTTTTCACTCCCAATGACTTTCCCCGCAAAAAAAAAAAACAAACAAACAAACAAACAAAAAAAAAAAAGGCACGCGCACGCACACCCATTGACAGAAAACTAAAGTAAATGCCCTTCTCACCTGCTGCTCCACAGTCCACACAGGTGTCATTTCCAGCCCTCTGCAGGATTTCCCGGAGTGCACGAGTGGACATCGACATGGTGGACAGATCCAATTCTCTTCTTCTAACGAGCAGACGCAGAGGAATAAATTATGGTGGTCGGTGGTAGGGGTCTTCCAAGGTCTATCTCCTCCTGGCACCCCAGAAGTGCGCCTCAGACTGGATAAACACAATGGCGAAGTCCTCATAAGGGGAGCGCGTCCATGCTGGAGAGACACAGTCAGTGCGTAAATTCCACCAGTGACTCAGCCCGCGATTGCGTGTGCGTGTGTGTGTAACCCGATACTGTACAAGGAAGTCCATCGCAAAGGGCGGCGCGGACTGGTTTTTTTCCCCCTTCTGCATGATTGCGCAAAAAGCCACTGCGCATCTCGCACCTGAGGACCTTAAAAAAAAAGGGGGCGGGCCACACTTTGGTTGGAGGAGCGGCTAAGGTGAGCAGAAGTGTTCGAGCTCATGGCGGACAACAACCCGAGTTGGACTCGACGAGTGGCGGGGCAAGGAGTGCCAGTTGAAAAAAAAAAACAATAAGAAAAAGAAATGAAATGTATGACGTGCACAACTAAAGGGCATAGTTCTGAGGTCTCCCCAAACCACCTAAAAAATAAAATACAAACTCCAGACTGGGGAGGTGCGGCGTCCAAATTAGGATCTGGACCAAAGTCCCCCTTGGGCGGGCAACAGTCTGAGCAGGCATCGGGATTTTTCTCTGTTACTGTCAAAAAAATCGATGTATAAAAATCATCCAATAAAAAAACGAATTAATCATATATGATATCATGATTAACCCAACACCCGCTTGGGCGGGCAATAATGCGATCTATCTATCACAAAATAAATAACTTTATTAAATACAAAAGGATTCTGATTTTTGGCGAATATAAAATATAAAAATCGACAGTATAAAACTATCCTCAAAAGTACCCTAAAAATGAATTCAGGCTAACCTAAGCCACTCACAAGTATGTAATATCCACTTTGGCCAAGAGGAGGAAACAGTGTATCACGTTTGGAATTCGATCGTGTTGCCGTGGCGCGTTTCAAGAAAATAATTCATCACTGTCATCCCATTATTAATGAAGAGACATTGGAATAAGGAGGAACGTTTTACATCATCAACAACAAGAACAACACACCATTGCGACTCCAGAATGAAAGGCACACAGAAAGAAGCAAGACACCTCATCGAAAATTGCCAAAACAGACAAACCCATGTAAGAAGCATGACCAAAATTAAAAGAGACAACACAGGCAAGACAGCATGTATTTTAAAAACAGAAAACAAATGACAAATATATTCACGTATTTACATCTAAAACGGGAACCAACCATTTGAGAAAAAACAAACAAACGGAAAAAGTACCAGGCGCACAAAGATGACGTCGAAAGACCGATCTCAGAGTCTCCTCAGGGTTTTAAAAAGAATAAAAGAAAGACATAAAAATATTAGTTTCCTATTGTTTTGATTTAAAATATAGATATTTTTTAATTTATGGCGTTATTTTTTATTTCTTTCCATTAATGTTTTTTTTTGATATTTTAATATATTTCCCATCAACGAAATCTAAATACTGTAACTGCAATTTATCATTAGATTGAGGCAGCAGGCAGTTGGATCAAAAACTAAAATCTATCAAACCTGTCATTCCTTTCTCAGATCAGAATTTTTCAAAACATAATTATGAATTCAATTAAGGAAAAAATGTTTTTAATGAGCTGTCACAGCGTCTCTCCACACTAAGGAAACGACATGATTATTGCCCCCCCCC